ACATCTGATCTGGTGGCCATTTGCTGCCTTTGTGTGGAGCAGGAAGGACAGAATCAGTGGCAGGAGTAAAAGGCAAAGACCTAGGTAGGTTTGTGGCAGAGGCCTCCTTTGCCCACTCCTTCCCCATCCCAACTGAACAGAATGAAATCTCCTTTCAAATCACCTGAAAGAGGAAAAGCCAGCCAGCAACAGAAAGTACTGTTTGCAGAATTGTTGTTCTTTGAAAAAGAAAGTGAGAGTGGACTAGAAATGGTCATTGTCTTTTGTCATACAGCTTCCTCCTCCTTCTCATTTGCCATCTAATGTCACCAAAATGTGTCTGCTTGCTACCTACAGTCAGATGCACAAAGGGAAAATAATTTATAGATGTTAGGCATCTATTTCAGTTTTCCATAGAATCACAGCAAACATAATCACAGATCACACTAGACTTGAGAGAACTGTTGCAAAATAAAGTTCAATAAAACTAATAACCATCCTCTAACCACACCTCCCCAAACCATACATGCGAATTTAGATTGCTCAGAACCACTCTTAACTGACTTTATTGTAACCCCAGGGCCGTCCTGTTTGAGCAAACCCTTGGCAGGAGGTTTCAGTCACAAAGTCCACAACACTAAGATGTGTCCTTTCTGTCTTGTTCCCTGATCCCTGAGTGGTGTTCACTCCCTCCAAGCAGTAACTGTTCTTACTGCAAGCAAAGTCATGATCAGACCAGTGCTCAGAGGATTTATTCACTCGGTGTCCACTCAAGAGCAATTCAGTGAACATCCACCTTATGCCAGTAATTGACCCCAGAAAAATTAATGAGAAAACAAAAGTGGCATTTTTTCTAGCATCTTTTGTATATCAGACTGCAAACTAGGCCTGTAACAAACACTATCTTTGCATATCCTTATATCTTATATAAGGATAGACTTTAAATTAACCCATCAGGTAATCTTTATGAGCCATAAAAGATGGAACTCATGCTGACTTTAGAGAAAAAATCAGAGGGTATGTGGTTAAGCATTCCTGAGGAAGCACCATGAAAATGAGGCTTATGTGTTCCAACTACATTATTCTCTGATAGGAAGAGCACAGGTCTGTTTGGACCTTTGGTTATCATCAGACACACCAGGCTTCACCTTGTAGCTGTTGTAGATGCTGCTTTCTCTGTTTTCAGTTCCTCCTCCTTCACTGCTGAGGGCGATCCTCATGGAAAGAATCAAGAACCTTTCATCACCATTCCTATAATTGAGTCTCAACAATTCTCCAAAAAGCACTTACCATGATGGATCAAAAAAATTATATACTTCAGAATTTTACATACATATTTATACTTGTGTCTTTATTTCAACTCATCCCTAACTAGTTGTGTGATGTCCTGAAAGGTTAAATAACTTTTTCAGTGTCACCTGTGAGACCAAGGAGGAGAAAAAGTTTGTCTTGGTCGTGAGTGTTCCCCAGATGACTAGAACAGTGCCTGGCACGTTCTATAAATATGAACATGCTAATGACTAAATGAAAATTTAGGAGTCAACAATGCATTTGCCATGGCTCTTGTGTAGTTATTTGAGGTTGTGGGAACATAATAAAAGATTTTTATAATTAAAGTAGAAAAGAATTGGGGGACTGGGGCCACAGGTGTCGTGCAAGAGTTATATGGTTAAGATCTGTGTGTCCAACACACACCAGTGGATTGTTTGGGAACTTTTAGCAAGTTAAGAGCATAAATGATACATTTCCATTAGTCTTTATATTCTTTCTTCATGAGTCCTTAACTAGATCAACTCTAATACTCTGTCATGAAGATTAGAAGCTTTCTGAGTTAGCATAATTTCTAGAAACTTATGTGATATTTTTTGTGACCACCTGTTCTTGATGTTGAAACTGAAATATCAGCACCAATTCATTCTTCATAGTCTTTTCTAAGAGGCTCCAGAGTGCCATCATAAATATGCTGGCCAGAGCCTGTCTACACATTCTTGAACACGTCTGTACTGTATGTTTCACTTACTACTCAATTTCTCACTTAGGTTTACAGTTAGGATGTTTCAAAGCTGGGAAACAAATTAATCTCTTTGAATACCATCATCTTATATAAGGATAGTGAGGTCAAGTGAGGTGAAATAGATTGCTCAAAATCAAAGTCCACAATTTACTCAGCTGAATGAGAGATATGGGTCAGAAAGAATTAAATCACTGCTAGTAGACTGAGTCCAGGAGTCTGCACTTCACCGTAGCTTCATTTGTATACAGTGGAAGAAGGACTCTTAGCATCATGAAGTTCATTTAATAGAGTAATACATCTACCTTCTAGCAAGGTGACAAACATTATCTGTCTTTTCACTTTCAAGAAAATGTAAAAGGCAGGCTGTACTTAAGGTATTAAGTATATGTGATGACTTCTGTCCCCATAGCAAATAATGTTCAAAAGTTTTCTTTTCTTTAGTCTTTATTAGTTTTTCCAGTAGATGCCTAAATCCAGTCCTTGATGCTTCAATTCTTTCCATGCCTCTTTCACTTCATTGGCCTCTCTCTTTTGTCTTTTGCCATCTCAGTCTAGCTTATGCAGAAGAAAGAGATGTTCTTCAAGTGTTATTTCATTAAAAGCATGATTTTTTTGAGTGCCTGTTTCTACCAGGCATTGCATTTGTTCAATACTATCTTACAAGGTTCACATCTGTCTTAGTTATTTTTAACTCGTCGCTGAGACAAAATACTTGATGCCCAAATTTGGGAAAAGAAAGGTTTATTTTTTTCTAGTTTTTGGAGGTTTTAGTCTATATTTAGTTGGCTCTAAGGTAGGGTGGCATGGCAGGGCTGCAGTTGATGGCAGCTGCAAACAGCAAGGCGGCAACAGAGAGACTCCTTTTTTTAATTAGATTGCATGTTGCCTACACCCCGAGGTGGGTGTAGCACTGACACCATTAATTTAAGCACTAGACAGTGAACCAATCACAAATGTACAATGCAAGTCATGAGGCCTGGAGGCCACCAACATAAGCTGTGACATTTTACCCCTGACCCCCAGGACTCATGAACATCTTTTATATAAAAGACATTTAGTCTATCTCTAAAAGTTGTCATAGCCTTAACAGTTTTAGCATTGTTTAAAGGTTTAAGTCTTTCTTAAGACCTATGGCAAACTCTTAATTGTAATCCCCTGTATCAAGGAAACAAGGTTAAACATTTTTGAAATGTAAAGGCACTAGATGAACATTATCATTTTAAAAGTTATGAATAGGGGAATATAAAGCACTGGAAACAAAGCAAGTCTAACATCCAGTAGGGTGAACATTAAGTCTTAGAGTTTTATGCTCAGTATTGGGTGATTTTACCCCCATGGCACTTTTAGGGGTTTTAGCTCTCGCAGCTTTTTTTTTAAACCCCTTTTGCTTGCTTTTTGTAGCTTTGTGAAGAAAAGCTTTTCTATGTTGCCACCATTTTGGAACCTCGTGTGAGGATTACTTTCTTTTCATGCAGAATAGTGCTAGATTGTTACTACTTTTAGAATACTCGTTTGTTTGTTGTTTTTTGTACCATTATTTATTGCTGCTATTAATTTATCCATCTCCTCACTGCGTATGTGCTTTGATCTGCTACCTACTCGTACAACATGCAGACATTCTTGTTAGAATTTTATAAGCCAGTGGTAAATGAGCATTGAATAAGAAATTATGTAATCTTACATAAGAGAACTTTAGTGTATAATATTGTTACATTTATGCTGTATTACTAGAGATCTTCAACTTGTTTCTAGGTTCTTTATTGGTATTGTTTGCTTTGCATGGCCTTATAAACCACAGTAATGTTGGACAGACCACAAGAGGAAGCAGGTAGAATCTACCCACTCACTGAGGTTAGACCATCCATTCTGCCCACTGTTCAGGAAGCATGGAAGGTCTGGGAATACTCAGTCTTTAAGGTTGTGCAGCCACTTACCTTCATTAGGTCCATCTACTCTTACTTATCATAGATAACTTTGCTGTTTTAAAAGTTGAAAAATACTGGTGTTTGCGTTAGAGGGTACTCGGCCCTTTTCAGCACTGTAGGCATCACTTCCCTTCACATTCATGCTTCCTGAAGAAATAAATAAATTATTTAATCTGGATAAAAAATGACCCATTTTGCTTCAGTTGTAAAACACAGCACTTTCATGCACATTTATACATTGTCTGTATTTCAAAGATGTGTATATTGTATAGAAAATTTAAAATGAATGTGAACAGTGCACAATTAAGATGTCTCTAAACGGTTATGCATATAATTTAATCAAATATTCCTGGTGACACAATTTGAGGTAGGCTTGTGTTTTGGGAAAAATGTGTTGCTGTGGACCCAAAATTAGAGTCTTATAATTTCTTTATAAAACAGTTACTAACAACCAGCTTTACACCATGCCTTTCAGTAGGTTATGGAAGATAGCCAGGAACTCTTCTGTCTTAGATATTAGGTGTGAAAGCCAGTGGGACTGCCATTACAGACGCACTCCTGGAATGGAATTTCAGAGGTGAATAAAGTGATCCTGTTCAGAGGTGATGGTAGCTTGAATGGTAGAAACAGACCAAAAGAACTTCACTGATTAATGATGTTTTTGTAGAACCACTCACACATCAGTGGTAAGGGGAAGGAGAAGAAAAGTGCCTGCTGCCCAGTGTCACTTTTGGCTCAAACCCATGGGCAAAACGTGCTACCATTTGCTGATGAATGGAACAATTAATGAATTGGTTTGTGGAGATGATGGGGGATGTGTGTAATTGGCAATCTGATTTTGTGGTAAGTTTGGGGTTCTTGTTACAACTCTGAATGCAGATGGTAAATAAGCAGCTGAGATATCCTTTCTTCTTACTCCCTTCAGAGCAGCTTTCTTGTAATGTATCTGCATCTTCAGTAAAACTAATGGAAATGACATTATGCTATTCTATTAAAGCAGTTTTTCACTCATTATTTTCCATTTCTTTTTGTTTTCACAATTTGGTTTTTGACATTGCTAATATTACTAATTGTCTTTCTAGGAAAGTATAGACCTGGGTGAAATCATGTTTTCCCTGTGTTATTTGCCAACTGCTGGACGTATGACGTTGACGGTCATCAAGTGCAGGAATCTGAAGGCAATGGATATCACTGGCTCGTCAGGTCAGGGCACATTCCCAAATAAAGTACGGCCTGTGCCAACAGTTGTACATCACAGAATTATTCGTCTGCAGTGGAGTACAATAAAAGTAGAAAAATAGATTGCAAATTAAAATGTGCCAAGTCATCTGTTTCATACACATTATCTTTATGAAATTTTGTTATTATCAAATAGACAGACCTCAAACTTAAATTCTTTTTTTATTTTTCATTTTTATTGATACAGAAAAAGGAGATACCAATGACCAATAAACACATGGAAAAAAACATGATGTTAAATACCACCAGCATTTCTTTTTATTTATGTACTGGCCTAATTCATCTCAGAAATACATAATTTACAGCCTGCTCCCTCAGTATCAGTGAGTCAGATATTTGTAAGAAAGGATTCTTAGACTTCAAGCTGTAGAGTTAATGTGCTTAGGAAGACATGTTCAGATTATCTTGGTTTCCCTCATCTCATCTGCAGAGGAATAGCTATGTTCCAGGACCACCATTGGCACTGACATTCTTACCCCCTTTCCAACTCAAGATTTGACATCTATAGGGACTGCAAGAAACAGTAAGTTAAAACAGTGCTCCTTGAAATTCTTAAAGGGACTCTTAAAGGGAACTTATATTGTCATAAAGAGACAAAGCTATATCACAGCCCGTGTCCTCTCATTTAAACCCCTGCCACTGAAGAAGATGATTCATAACTTACTACGGGAGCACTGGAATGATACTGTGGAAGAAAGGTGGTAGGGAATGAGTAGGGAGGACAGTAAGGTATCTGTGCTTCTTCATAACAAAAGCAGCTAAATTCATATTATGAAAAGCAAGATGGAACTCTGTCTGATAGGACAAGACCTCTAGGATACACAAGGCGTGAAAATAAATTTTGGTATCCTGCTCATGTCTGTGCAGGAAAGGAGGATTTTAGGGCTCACATTCATATTGCCAGTATTTGTATAAAGAAATAAAGGAGGAATTCACAGAAACCGAAGGGCAAAGGAGAGTGGGGACAGACAGGAGAAAGACCTCCTATTGTACATCTTTCTCTCACAGTTTCATGTTTCAACTGTCATGACTTAACTAGCCTTTAAAATTTTATAAAATGGAGTGTTAATAAAAGTACAACACCCAGTAAATTCAGTACTTATTTTGGTGAAAATTTTTGGGTAAGTGTTGGAGAACGTAGGCAGAGTATTCTGTAAATTATTGTTTTTGTTCTACTCTTTCTCCTCTGGATCAAAAGAGATCAAATTTTAGACAAGCAAACAGCATAAAGTTGTAATTAAGTGCAAGATTGCTTTTTTTTTTAATATGAAGCTTTTCAGTGGAGGAGCCTGTGCTTGTGAGTACCACCTCATTAATCCTCACAACAGGCTTGTGAATCGACTAAGAAGCAAGCAAATTATCCTTGTCAGAAGCCAAAAAACCCAGCCAGAGGTGTGATGAGAAAAGCAGAGGAGTCATTCCTGTTGTTAACAGGCCTGCAGACTTGGCCACAAAACCATAGCACCAACCAGGCTCTCTCCTTAGAGCACAGTTCCAACCATTTAAACAATTAAAAATGACTGGGAAGCAGACATGATCACTGCTCTTTTATCTTGTCCTTTTAAACACTATTGCCAGGTATCTGATATCTTTGACTCCTCAGTGAAAATGCTCTTGAAATACATTTTTATTAAGTTCAAAAAGCACGAACTTAATGAATTAATATTACTATTACTTAGCAAGGAATTAAAAATATATTACTATGGAAAGAGAGGAAAGATGGCAGTGTGGCAGTGTGAGTGTAGCAACATGGAGGGGAGAAAAAAGAGAAGAGATGGGGAAAGAATGGATTGTTTTAACTGTCTAGCATGCTCCCTTGGCCACAGCGAGGCTTAGGAACTGTTTAAAATCTTCTGTAATATTGTGACTCTTTCTCTACTTAAAATGGAAGATAGTAAGGGTAAGGAGGTAGGAATCGAATGAGTTGGGGAAGAACTTGTTTAACAAATCTTTGACAACTTGGGCACAGAAAAATATAGCCAGCTATAAGTTTTTTCTTTGCAAATGACATGTAGATAATGTGATGTCACAGTCTTCTTTTTAAACATTATAAAACAAATACTACCTTTTGTATCACATGATATTTATTGAATTTTTTGTAGTGACCATTTCTTCCGTCTAAACTCTGTTTCAGGCAATCCAAATGCCTTATCTAATGTGATGAAAATACATCAAGTTTTAGTACCTTACCTAGCAATAGAAGAAAATCCCAAGTATAATTTAGTTATTCTTCTTAAATTTCTACTCATTGAGATTATATATACTTGTCTACATACTATCTTTCACAAGTTTTTCATCTTAAATTATCCCAAGTGAAAGTAAGCTGATTGCAAGTTTTCTTATTTTTTTAGGGTTATAGCCCCTATAAATCACTTCTCACAAAATGCTTCCTAAAATAGCTACAGCCAAAAGATGTCATACAAGCTCAGGACTAACTCTTCATAAATTAGGTAGTAACCTCTCTTTCATTAAAAAGTGTGATCAAACTAATCTTTGCTTAGTTTATTCAGGATTAATCACCTTTAAAATAAGAAGTCCTAGTCTTTCACCCCCAAATAAGTCATTTCAGTTTAAAACTAGTAATCCTAAAGTGTTTACTAGTAGTTTTATTTATGCTATGTGCAAATATTTTCATTTTTAACAAAGTTATTTCCCCCTCCTAGATCCCTATGTCAAAGTGTCTCTGATGTGTGAGGGTAGAAGACTAAAAAAAAGGAAAACGACTATAAAGAAGAACACTCTCAACCCTGTGTACAATGAGGCCATTATTTTTGATATTCCGCCTGAGAATGTGGACCAGGTCAGCCTCTCCATCGCAGTCATGGATTACGACAGGTAAGGGGCTTTCTATCTGCAGAGGATCAGCCACGTTTAGTAACACACATGCTGGATTCGGCTTTTCAGATTATTTGCCCTCCAGTCATTTTGATTTATATTGGAGCAGGAAAAATATGTATTCATAGTTCATTGTGTTGTTACAGCTTTGAGATTCCTTTTATCTTTTTTCTTCCAGAAGAAATCAGTTCACCTGGGGCAGCTGTGAGACTAGGTCCCCAAGCGCTGTGGAATGCTCTGTGGGAAACAGCACTCTAAGGTCTTTTTACAGTTAATAACAGGCTGCAGTCACACTTCCTTATCACAGCGGGGCTGAGACATGAGGGTCATGTTGCTTACCAAGCTGAGTCTTTAACTTGCCATGTAAGAGAGCTGTCCCAGCATCTCTTTGGGATTCATTTCTTCCATTCTGGGGTTCACCTTTTCCTTTTGTGAAAGGGCAGCTTATTGCAGAGCAGTGATAGGGTCCTGGTTCCTGGGGAAGAGTGGCCACAGAGAGGCAGCTCTGATGGCTCTTGTCAGTCTTAAAACATTCTTTTGATGATGATTTCCAGCTCACACGCTTCCAGTACTTCCCCTTACATAGAATACACGGCAGGCCCCGCAGTGCTACTGGGAAAGTCTCAGTGTCTCAGCTCCAAGTTCTGCCCCCCACTCCAGAGCTCAGCCTACTCTGCTTCACTGCTGAGCTCCAGAGAACACCCTGCACTTCTCTCAACTTTCAGCCTCCTCTGCTTATGGCCTTTAGTCGCACTGAAGGTTCCTGTCTCTTACTCAGCCCATACAGTGCACTTCTTTTATTATTTTGCTTTTTGTACTTACAAATCTTTTGGAAAGGAATACTGTATCTTCTACCTACCAGATTCTTAGGACATAAACAGAGCCTCAGTTTTTTCTATTAAACGTACCACTGGTACAGCGCATATACAGTACATAAAGAGTTTCTAGATTATTCTCTTAGGACATGGTCATAACCATGACTATGACACAAGGAAACTAAGGGGCCATTCTCTGGCTCAGCTAGCAGAAGACTGAAAATAAAGGGTTTGCATGATCTGCTTAAATCAGCATTAGAAAAACTATCTTGTAATGGTTTCAAATTAGTTCATATGGCAAACTCTAAAAATGTAAATATTTTTATCAGTAATCCTGTTTTGCTTTTATCAGCTACACTTACTGACTTTTCATAACAGTATGTGAAGGTAGATACAACTAGGCACTTGGCACCCAAGCAAGTTTGAGTAAATGGATCCTAGTAAGATATAAAATAGACTGATAAAAAATTACTCCTAAAATATACTTGTTGGAGAAATTTCATATTGAGGGAAATTATACTAAGTATAAATCTGCCTTAGTGATAAAAAAAGTAATAAAGAAGTTCTAAAATCATGTCAAAAGTCTCTTTAGAGATGTCTGTCAAATAACTCTCTAGCAGTTCCTTTAAATTGCGTTCTGTTCATCAGAAGCAACTTACTGCATAATGCACGTATCCCTGCGTCTGCTGCCCTGATTCAGCTCCTGGTGCTGCCTTCCCTCAGATGTGTAAAGTCAGGTCAGTGCCTGACTTCAGTATTGTGCAATGTACTCCAGTTGCAGAGCATTTAGCTGATTTACCTAATGAAGTAACAACCCTGATGTTCACGGCCACAGCAGTCAATACATTTACTTAGACATTGTTTGGTACATAATAAGCTCTCACACGTTATTAACTACCAGTGTTTTTTATTTGTTACTGTGAAAGCAGGACATAAATAGAAAATATCAATGTGGTCCTGATAATACTATTCTGTGATAAAGAAAATGTGTGGGATGAAATATAACCCTGCCCTGTTAACTGTAGTGCAAGCAGTTACATACACTGGCATAGCATTTAGAGACAATTGTATGTTCTTTTCCTCAAGAAAATGGGAACTGTGCTCTTGGTGTGAAATCTAAAGACTATTACTAAACATTAAGCCATGTAAAAAGGGCAAAGTTTGATTGACATATATGTAACAGGCTCATTTCTGAGAATGAAAGGTAGGACTTACGGTTATTTTGCATTCACACTATAAGATTGTGGAATGCGCTAAAGTTACAGAGAACTGAAGCAGTTTGTATATGCTTCTTAAGCTCACTTTTGAATGTTGATATTCTATAGTCGTTTTTATTAAGCATTTTCATTTGACCTGATGTGGTATGGAGTCATCCCTTCCTAGCTGCAGTGGGGTGTGTTCCACAGAAGCTGAAACTGAGGCAAATACCAAGGCCCATGCTTACTGTGACTTTTTTCTAGCATAGCTATGATAAAATGTAATTTATAAATTAACCACAGTACAAGATTAACAACTAATACTAAAACAGAAAAATAATAGCATGTTACAGTAAAAGTTATTTAAAACTCATGAACTACTTCTGGAATTTTCCACTTCACATTTTAAAGTCATGATCAACAATAATTATCCAAAACTGCAGAAAGTGGAACCACAAATTCTGTGATTGGGTACTGTAATCTGCACAATCAAAAAAGCTAGTGTTTTAATGATGTGTTCAAAATTCTGTTGATAAAGTGAGGTTTGCTTTATGTTAAATACTGGAGATGAAAACATGGTATTCTACAAACCCTAGGGTGGGACACAATGAGGTCATAGGAGTGTGCAGGACGGGGATAGACGCCGAGGGCCTTGGGCGCGACCACTGGAATGAGATGCTAGCCTACCACCGGAAGCCCATAACACACTGGCACCCCTTGCTGGAGGTGAGCTCTCAGTCTCCTCACTTCTACCCTGTGTGTCACCTCTTCTGCTTCAGTGTCACTTACCTGCTAACCTTTCCCTGACATTTTATGCACTTACTTGCTAAAAAGTTGTTCCTGCTTTTATCTCACAGTGTCTGACACCAACTAAGCAAAGTTTTGTATGCATCATGAATTTTTAAAACCACTATACATTATCGGTTTCAAATTTATTTCTTTTCTTTCTTGCTCTTTTTCCATATGTGTGGTACTGGGGATTAAACCTGCTCGGGTGCTTAGCTCTGGGACCTCTCTAGCCTTTTTAAAATTCTGTTGTGACACAAGTTTTCACTGAATTGTACCAGCTGGTCTCATTCTTGCAAATCTCCTGTCTCCAAGTCCAGAATATCAACAATTACTAGATATGTCACCACACTTAACTTGGGCTTCTGAATTTTTGCACAATAAACAATAAACACTATAAGTATATCATTTTCTTGACTTGGAAATTTACATCATTGACTAGTGAAGCAACCTAGTAAGTTTACTGCTAAGTGGAAACAAAATTTTAGTGATTTTCTTTTGTAAAAACAATCACTTTACCTAAAGTCTCTTCCATTTAAGAATCCTTAGAAAGAGGTAGTATCACCTAACAGTGCTTCTGTATACAGGGACACGTATATCCTCTTCTGCTCTAACTCTGGTCAGAAAGAGCCAGCAGACATTAGGCACATGGAGGGTCTCAATTATCTGAATTCAAGACCCGGCTGTGCTGTATGACTATTGTGGAATAGCTAAAGTTGCTCTATTTCTCTACGTTTCTGCTGTGATATGTAGTAGTAGTAAATTGAAAGGAAAGCTGAATAAATGCTTGAATAATAAGTGCTTATGACAGGCAGTAGCGCACATTAAGCCCTTATTATAATTATTAGCAAGATTAGCCAGAGGAAGGAGCAGTACCAATTTTCTATCAGGATTTTTAGTCATGAATTTAGTTGTCAGTTTACAGGACACATTGAATGTTGCCAGGTCAAGTGGTTTTCTTTCCCAAAGACAATATCTGGAGCCTCCTGAAGAGTCATAGTGTAAGTAATTTATATGATCTGAGGAACTGAGAGATAATGCAGGTTCACAAAGGGATATGTAGCAGATGAAGGATTTTATGTATTTCACCAACAAGAAGATACCACAGTAAATAATGACAACTTTTGCCGTCTGTCCATAGGGAAGGTACTGCTTCTTCTTTTAGCAGCAGGCACTGGCTTAAAGAAAAGGAGAGATTGTGCACTGCTTTTGACTAAAGACCAGTGGGACCAGGTTCCAATTTCAGCTTGGTCACAAAAGATGTGGTGTTGGCTGTGTTACTAAAGACAATGTAGAAACAACTGGATGAGCACTCAATGTTCAGACTACAGAGGTGAACTGTCATTACTGATACCTCAGTATACATAAATGCTGCAAGTCTTTATCTGACTTCATAATTTAATGTAAGCAGGTGGGGGTGGGAGGAGACAGACAGAGACAGAGATAGAGAGAGAAATTTAATCACATGGAAGTTTCCCTAGAGGGTTTCATAAGTAGAGTCAGGCATATTTTCTAAAGCTCAGTAAGTCTTGAAAAGTTTGTTTCATGTCAACAGTGGATATTGTGTAAAATATTCTCAGCTGCTCATTTAATTACTACCCTTTCCTTGGTTCTCCTCTTTCTTTGTTCTTTCTAATGTTAGAAAAGTGAAAATTAATCATGAAGATTGAGACAGGAGAGTTAAGTCTTGGCCGGGCAGCAGCCCATATGGAGCTCGGGCCCTGTCCCTCCATTGCACAGGTCTCGGTCCCTGCAGTCACAGTCCTTTCCTGGGAGGGTGCAGGGAGCAATGATGTCATGGGAGCAAGAATTTTAACAGATGTAGGGAAAGGAAAGGTGCTAGAGAACCTGAGGCATACTAACTTTTGATAACTACTTAATAAGCAGCTAGGCATTTATCTGATGAGTGGGAGCTATGGATTGCACATGTGTTTGTGTCAGAGAACAACATGAATACTTTGCAGTCCTAATGGAACATTCAGGGAGATCATCAAGCTACATTATGGGCATCCCAGAAAGATGCCAGGTATCTTTCTGAAAGCCGAGTGTCAGAGAACCAGTGGGACTGAGAGACTGTACTTTCTGCAGCAAGTAGCTCCTCTCCTCTCAATCCCTACTCCCACTTTCACTGGTCAAATGCAATTTCTGGATTAGACCAAAGAAATAGCTGGATTTCTCATTATGGGAAAAATCAGTATGCCTGAGAAGGGATAAATTTGAGAAAAGAACAATCATTCAGGATTTGGTTAACAGTGAGACACACTAAATTGTCATTTAGATGATCTGATTACTGGATACTTAGGTAACTGAAAGTTTATTCTATTGATTAAATGTTTTAAAAACACTTAAGGCTGGGTGGTTTAACTCAGCAGCGTAAGTACCTGCTTGGCAAATGCGAAGTCTTAAGTTTAATCCCCAGTACCAAAAAAAAAAAAAACTCCAAAATTTAAGAATCATGAAAAGATATTCTTCCTCATTCATGGGTCCCACTTTCCCAAACTCACTCTTCTCATCTCATTCATTACCTCCATTTAAGGTCTCCTAGTGAACCAGGCATGGCGGCCCGGCACCTATAATCCCAGCTCCTCGAAATGTGGAATTGGGAAGATCACAAGTTTGATCCCAGCCTGAATAACTTTGTGAGATCCGGTCTCAAAAATAAAAAGTTAAAGACTGCTGGGGGGATAGCTCCGCAGCACCTAGGTTCAATCCTCAATTTGGGGAGTGGGGGATCATCTCCTGCTTTGTGGCAGATAGAGTGCAATGTCGTGTGTATAAAACCTTGTTGCTCTTGCCTAGCAGTTGTCTTCATTGTAGTAAGCCATTATGTTATCAAAACTGTCATGAAGTATGAAATTATTCTGTTGTCACACATAATTGCTGTAGAGTGCTGTTCTGCGTACCATCCATGTACCATGCTCGACGTACACCTCTGACCATTTGTGTCCTCTCAGCCAACCTGAACAGGTAAGTTCCCAAGGCTGGGGAGTTCCATGCATCCACTCTTTAGATTTGTGTATGGTGGGAGAATATTCGTGTTACAGGGGAGCCACAATTATCCACTGTCTTTTTTTTTTTTTTTTTTTGGTCTTTTTCGTTTTTATTGGTACCAGGGGTCGAACTCACGACTGCCTGCTTGCAAGGCAGGTGCTTATGCCGCTGAGCTAAATCCCCAGCCCAAACCACTGTCTTATTTTTGTGCACTGGATAATATGTTATAAAAATTACTGTCTTTCAGTTACCTGGCCGGGCGACAAGTTTTGATAGTCAAGGATCTTGCTCTTCTCCAAAACCACCTTCCACACCATAATGCCTCCAGTGTAAGACCCTGCAGTAAGGACCTAGGACCATGTGTTCCTTAGATCAGGGGGGAAAGGTGGGAAGGCTCAATTTCCTCAGCTATTCATAGAAATTAACAAAGTTGACATGCTATTTTCTCATTTATCTTTTTGTCTGTTTTTAAACTTTGAACACATTAATACTTTTTACTTGAATACAAATAGTCCTTAGTTACATAAGGCATTTTATCCTTCATGTCATATGCCTATTAGCACAAAGAGAGTTTAAAAATGTAATTCTTTGCATAAGTGAAGAAACGAAGTTTAAAAAAAAACAAAGATTCAATACATATATAAAATTAAACGTAGTTTATGCTGCTATTGTATAAAGTAGTATATCGCATATGTGTGGTTATGTTTTTGTTATAATTTGTTCATTTTCAATTGTGCACATGGTTTTGTATAGATCTTAATGGACTTTTTAACCTTCCCATCCATAGTGCTGAGTCCTTGTACATTAATATTAATGCCACTTATCTGATAATAGTTTTACTTTCCTTTATTCTTTTCTTATTGAGGTTTGGGTCAGCCAAAATCAAAACTTTGTCTCTCAACTTTGTTCTTTAAAAGTATTCGGATAAGTCAGTCAATTTAAAGAGTCATATTGAGTAAAAAAAAGCTGAAAAATGGAGGCTGAACCCTTCCTACTACTGTTTTATACTGTCTGTCTTATTAGTTCAGACCTCTGTTGCACTGTTAACTGATGTTTTAAAACCTCTGATAATCTTAATCTCATGTGTAGTTTTGGTAATCCTAAGTGACTAGAAACATAAGTTCAGTTTTCATGTGTTTGTAAGGTACTCAAGTTTTGTGACATGTACTTTGTGATATGACACTACCACATAGATCCTGTATTTCCAACAGATCATAGTAACAGACACCAAAGGTACCGCAGAATGGTCTGTGTTCTTTGCCACTTAGATAATATGCAGTACTGATAGGTGACTCAAAACCAATCAGAAACTTAGCACTGACATTAGGGATTTTTCCTACGCAAAGTGTGACTTATTTTCCAGTGAACTATAGAAATATACCATAAATAGTTTCCACAAAATTTAATAAAAATAAAGTAAGTTTTAAAGGTCTAGACCTCCAGTTCTTTGATGAAAGGCATTTTCCTTCATAAGGATGGAGGACCCAGCCACTTGATGTAAAAACTATGCAAACGTTTTTACAGTACACACTTCCTTTTAAATCAGGTCAACTTTTTAATATCTCATTTTCCAGTCCTCTTGAAAGGTATCTGTATTTCCCTAAAATTCCTTTGGAAAAGTGCACTCTGGATGGTGCGTATTTCAATCTTATTCCAAAATAAAAATTTTAGAAAAAGCAAGGGAACAAATTCATCAGGCTGGGAACATTTTATTGCCAATTGTGAAAATTTTATTTTTCTATATCCCTATTCCTATTAATAAGTGAAATCTTAGAAGCCTTGAAAGTTTGTTTTCTTGCATTCCTCCATAAGTAATCACTGTTAATTAAAATGTAAATATTTTGCTTATTAAAATTTGAAAGGCAAACATAGTTATACGTAAAATTTTTCAAAAAAGCTTGTACTATCTTAATGAAAAAAAATTCTTCATAGTTAACAGTTTCTCACTAAAAATAATAAGGAAAAACTGCAAGCTGAAAAGAACGTGAACGAAATGACTGAAGATTTTTGAACTCTATTTTAAAGGGGGAAAAGTGTCCAACAAAGACAAAACTTATACTCTGAAATTTTCTGGAGACAATTATGTTTTAATAGATAAAGCTACAACCTAAATTAAATTAGCAGCTTCATTTCCTAAGTCAGTATAACATATATGTACACTCCAAAACATATTTTAAGAACTTCTTGTTCATCCTTAAAAAATATATGCTTTGTTTCATAAGGAGAAAAAGCCAATGTTTGTGATAAAAAAATGACCTTAATGGGAGGAATATATACAGATTAAGGTAAGTTTTTAAAATAATTTTTTAAAACTTGAAAACTTTTCTTAGGGATTAGAATAGACTCATAGTGTCAGAGTAATTGTTAATCCTGTGAAAAAGATTAAAGGGAAGAAATTCACAACTCATCTCTCATGTACCATGTGAGGGACATTTCCTTTCAGATCGATCCAGTCAAGCATGATCACTAAAAATGGCAGCTGACATGACCAAAATGTAGCTCTTCCGCTTCCGACACAGCATACTCATTCTACACATCCATACACACATAAATTACTGTCTTTCTGCTTGTGATCAAAGATGAAATCTTTCCAGTGTTCAAAATAAGGCTTGATGTTAGAAATATCTTCAACTAATTTTATGTGGGCCGTCATATTTTAATGACAGTACTGACACATTGTGAAGTCATAGTTTAGGTATGTAATAAATACCTTAATTTCAGGGACTCATTCAGGGACTTAAATGAGATAAGTGTATGTAAGAGATCATGTCGATTCACAACCCTGACATTCATTTGATTTTTGAGTTTTGTTTTTGTCATTCTTACCATTATATAATCTTTACACAAAACTGAATGGTTCATTCTTTTTCTCACTCATAGTATTTTTCTTGACAATTTCAATTTTCCTAGTTCAGCCAGCCATATTCCCAGTACTTTACATGTAAAATTCACAGTATTAATACATTCATAGTCCAATGGCAAATATCACTGGGATAGAGCCAGGAGTTAGCATTGTGAATTCACGACCACATACTTTCTGGGACAGGTTTTTTTGGGGGGAGAGGGCTTGTTCTCGATACTGCAGGGAAATCACAGCTGATCAATACTGACTCAGGTTTTACATGAAAGCAGATATTTTTAAACCTCTTTGGTTGTGATATGTAATTGACCTTTACAGCTATACTTATTCTCCTCGAAGGTTTCCCTTATACTAGTTTTATATTTTTCACTCAATAAAGAGCTGTCAATATCATAAAGCTTTCATTTAACTATTCTTGGAAAATAAAGAAGTCAAACTTCCACTCCTGTCTCAGCTTGGCCGTACATAAAGCAAATTTCCAAATGAATCAGAAAGATAACCAAATACAGTTACAAATAAAGGGACACACAGTCTTAATAGTAAACACATGACAATTTATTTATCTTTTTGAAAAGACTACTTGATGTTATTTTAGAACATCTATGTTCATGAGATGGGGTGATCTGATTTTTTTCTTTGCCATGTTAGTTGTTATTACAACCAGGTAATTTGATTGCCTGACAGTTAAAAAAGGAAACAGGGGTTAACAAGAATTTAAGACAGCCTCTATAAATCTAAAGAAAATGTGAAAATCTGTATCTTTCACAGTTGGATCTTAAAGCAACTCCAGTTGTTCTAGAGTAATTTAATTGTTCTTAACTTTTATAATTTTTAGGCTAAAAATGTATTGCCATCCAATGATACAAAAGAACAGAAATGTAATATAAAGAAACAAAATAATAGTTAAGCAAAGATGTTAAAGCATATGAAAATAAAGATGTTGATGTGCAAAATCAAAAATGTACTTTGTATTTTAACTTAGAGTGAACAGTACATCCTCTTACATTGTTCCAAGAAACTCCATAGCACAACATTTAGTAGTTACACTCAGTGACATGGCTCAGGATATGATTCATCTGAACCTGCTTTAAGGAGTTATTATTTAAAAGAAACTGAATTTGTATTGTACATGGGAAACAAAGTTAATTAAACAAAATGTTGTTTCTAATATGTTATTCAGTGATATGCTTTTAGGTAAGAATTTGTTTCATTGTAAGACTTCTATATTTACTAAGTATTCTGTTAAAGTGAATGGTAATTTAATAAAACGTGTTGGTAATTACTTGGTATCTGCCATTAACATTTTTTAAAAAAGATATGTATTTGAACATTGGCACTAGATATTTGGTTCAATTATATTTTCATTAGAGTAAAAAATTTTCATCTTTACTGTGTTCAGCATGAAAATAGGAAACCCAGGTTTGATTTGGTAGTATGAAAACATACTGCAGAGACTTGGAGAAGAAAGTACTAAATTAAAGCCTGGGATGGACATAATGATTTATTGAATGCAAACATTTTTAATACTAGAAACAATGATTGAAAAAGTAAGCCAAGATATTTAAGAGAAAGAATGGGCTTCTTTATACAGATGATTTAAATGTACTCTTGTCAGGAAGAATTGGTTGTGTTAATTCTATTTGTGCCCCTTCTGAGACACTAGAAAGGGCTTACTATTGATAGATATATTTACATGGAAATATTTTAATCTCACATCTCCAACAAATCCCTCTGGAATCTTACCTAATAATTTCACTAAAGATTGAAGTTTACGGACCCCAAAATAACGATAATCTCTAAGATGATGTACAAACTGATAAAACATTTATTTTTTATTAAAATTGCATGGTTTCTTCTGTTTATGTTTATATAAATCATCTCATGAGTTTCATTACAATTTCTAAGCTTTTTTAAAAATATCCTTTGAGCTTCCCATTTTAAAAAAACAGCCATTTCTCCAATCCATGCTTCGTAAGTTCAATCATTACATAAATAAGAAGCAAATAAAATAGCTCCAATATACAAAATCAGTTCTTTCATAAACAAAAGTCCAGTACCAAAGTTTTTTCATTAACATTAACTTGTTACTGACCCTTCCAACTGGGAGATGTGATTAGATTATTCTACAAATACAAAGACACTACAGAACGCAAGTGAAATCTTCCTTTCAGAAGGAAGAATAATGAAGTCAAAACAGAAAGGAACTGCTTCCTATCGTACCTGTGATAACTACTAATCCCCCACAGATAGATATTTGCCAGTTATTCTGTACTGGCATGAACTACTAAAATTTATTTCATGCATGACATCAAATATTTTGGAACTAGTGTATTTGATCTTTCTTCGTACCCTTTAGTCTTTGTTCATAAAGTGACTTTTTAACTGAAGTTTGTGATTTTGTACTCAGCCATTGTTCAAATCAGTATCTTTGACTTCCATACCATAGAAGAGAAATTTCAAAATCTTTTGGAATTCATGTTTCTGGCTTTTGTACATGGTAGCCAGCCATTTGTGAAACTTGACAGCTATAATTGTATCACTTAGAACAAATGTTCTGTGGCCACCTTTAGAAGATACTACACACTGCAGTATTTTTACAATGTCTTCTTTAGGATGTGTGAACATATTTGTCAGGTTCAGATGAATTATGTAACAATGAAACCTCAAAGCTGTTATGAAGTATAGTTTATGATTACTTTTGTAAAAGAAAATGGAAAAGCACTTGAAATATAATTTTACTGTTTCATATGTATTTTGAAAAAGAAATAAAGTGATTATAAATAACTTTTATCTGTCTTTGGAGAAAATGCCTTACTAGGTTTAATTTTTTTTTTTGTCTTTTTTGTTTTTATCTGTACCAGGAATCGAACTCACAACTGCCTGCTTGCAAGGCAGGCACTTATGCCACTGAGCTAAATCCCCAGCCCCTACTAGGTTTAATTTTGATACTTCTGTGTGGTTAAGTTTTTCTTTAGTAGACATCATTTTTGGCACTCAGTAGTGCAGTCATAGCTTGAGGACCAAATGCTGTTTAAAGCTGTACTTTAATTTGCACAATCTCTGCCCCATCATGAGCTTATGGCTCATACTCTGTAACAAAAGACTAGTTAACAAGAGAAAAACATAATGAATTTATTTAGTCAAAGTTGCATAGGACTAGGGCTGTAACTCAGCAGTAGAGCACATGACCACATGTTTTAGGTTGGATTCCTCAGTACTGTCAAAAATAAAGATAAGGTTCACAAGATAGGGAACTCGAGATATAAAGACCCAGTGACCTAGAAAGCTATTTTTGTCCTGGGATTCAGTGAAGAATGCACTATTGTGTAGAGATGTGACTGGACAAGAAGGTTCTGATCTAATTGTAGCAGGCTGGCAGGGGAGACCCAGCAAGACCCACTTCTTAGATCCTGTAAGCTACGTCTTCGTCCTGCATACTTAGCAAGACTCTTTGTAGAATGAGTCTTAGGAATCTGTCAGATGAGGTAGGTCAAAGAGTTTCTCTGTGACTAACTCTTACAAGGAAAGTTGGAGGAGTAATATTTTAGGTTTTGGCAAGGTGCTGGGGAGAGGAATTCAAGAGTGTGTGCGTGGATTGCCTCTGAGGAGAAAAGGAAGCAAGAGAAAGACAGAAAGGACATAGACCGAAAGAGACCCTTCTTAATATCCTCAGTCCAAGGTACTCTGCCTGCTGCTGAGCAGACTTCATAGCTTGCTTTCTCAACCATTTCTATCACAGTGGTATAAATTTAAGTTTCTAAATCATTTCCATTGACAGATAATAAAGTGTTGAAAGAGATGAATGTCATTTTACATATTGCCAAATTTGTTTTACTGCAAAAAAGGTTGCAAGCCCCAGAAATATCTGAGCAGATGATCCATGAGTCGAGGTGTGTTCTTTGTCTTGTTGATGGCCTATACTTGCCTCAGATTCTCAAACACCTTTTCCTAGAGAAAACAACTAGTTTTAAGCAGTCAGCAGAGCACTGGCTCAGAGAGATTCCTCACTGCTGGCAAATCAAATGTTATATGTATTCCCTTAGTTATTATACACAGATATGGGGAGAAAGCAAGTCAGTAAATCTACGCCTCAGCCTGAAATTCAGGATAAAAGTCAGTGGTCAAACCTGTTTGCTTACGTCCTCATATTCAGAAAGCGTGAGGCACCTGAGTGAAATCTAAGTTGCTTCTTTAAATCAAATTGCTACTTTTTAAGATTTTCTTAAAAGTCTGAGCTTTTCCAAATTTCCTCTTGGAAGGGATTTATGTTTATGTTCATACTGGCTTAAAATTTATATTCTCGCTAACAATGCAGTACACTTCCCAGGAGGTCTAGTGAACACTAGCACTATTATTTGATTCTTTGTGTTGTTGAGCTAGTATTTTTATTTCTATTTCTTTTCCTCTCCTAATGAGAACTAAGCATCTTTTACATATCAACTGGCAATTTGGATTTCACTGTTTAAATTTTTCCCATTGTTATATTAGAGTGTCCTGGCTCACTTCTTAAAAACACCTCTAGAGAAGTATTTGTTCCCTTATTTATTTATTTATTATTTTGATGGAGATACTCTCATATGATCTTATCTTAAACTCCTCTCTGTTCTGAAAATCAGAAGGCATAGTGTGCCTATAAATATAAAGTACAAACAAAAATTTTTTCTCTTGAAAGGCATGAGTTGTTATCCTGATAATTTCCAATATCATTCTGGGCTGTAACCACAGTGTGCCTCAAAGAATTAGAAATAATCCGTTTGTGGATAATGTATTTTCATGTTATTGTTTACAATTCCATTTTGTACTACATATGAACAGTTGTGATTCTATTCACTTGTAAAATGACACGAAACAATAAAAAGTGATACCCATTAATGTTCACAGAGACAAAACCAAAATCTGAAGAGGAATCACAAATAGGACCTTTTACAGCTTCAACTTTCAGGCTGAAGTTAAAAATACTTTTAAAAATCTACTTTTCTCCAAATTTAAAAAAAAAAAAAGTTGTCTATTGATAGAATTGTGGGGACCGGCGGCAGCTGAAAAGGTAAGAAGTATGAAATATAAATTGTTAGGTCTGAGAGAAGGGGGAGGAGAGGAGAAGTCCGTGGGAGGTATGGAGCAGACGGCCGTGAAAGTAGTAGTCAGCGGTGGCTTTATTCCGGGAACGCGGGGAGGGGGCCCCTGCCGCGGGCCCCGGGGCGCAGCATCTCTGCACCGAGCCCGGGGCCGGGCTGTGGTCTCTCCGGGAACACGGGGAGTGGAGACTGGCGCGCTGGCCGGCGCTGGCCGCTGGAATCTGGCGAGCTCTCTCTCTCTCTGGCGAACTCTCTCAGACACGTGGCGTGGGGGAATCTAAATAGCCTAAGCTTAGGGCAGTGCCCCAAAGGCCATTAGAGATGCACAGGTATCTCATTGGCGCACAGGTCCTTAAGGATGGGGATATAGGGTTACAATCAAGTGCATAGGGGGCAGGGGGGGGAGGAGTTTAGCTGCAGCCTTTTCTGGTTACAGTGTTCCATCTGGGCCGGCAACTCTTTCATATCCCGTCTTCTGGTTATTAGGAAAAGGGGCGAAGATCTCTTTCTGTAACTACTTCCTGCTGGCTGAGGGCGCTGTATTGGGGGTCTAGGGGAGTTTGACGGGATGAAGGTTGATGCCCAGGTAGACACTGATGCCAGGTGTTTTAGCCAGGACAACTTCACTGGTGAATGTACGTATGTCAGACTGGAAAAACAAAGAGACATAATGTTATTAGGAGACATGGCACTATTATATTTAAGGACCCAGGTGAGGTAGATAGGAAGGTGACTTTGGTTTTGAGATGGTATTTTATCAGGGTGACGTTGAGGTGGCAAGGCAGAATTCTGAAAAATAAACGTGGGATTAGGAGGAGTTAAGTTATGAGAGGTGTTTATTCCCCCCTATGAAAGCATAAAAGTTAAAAGGTAGGTAGGTAAGGCTTGTCTCTGGTATATATGATGTTGGAGTCTGTAGGCAACCGTGTTAAGGACTCCTGCTATAGAAATGATTATTAATAGAATGTAAGAAATTAAGAATCAAACTGGACAACAAAACATGACAACCTGTGAGTCATAAGGCAGAGATGAGCATCAAAAGGATGGTTAGATCTAGGGCCTGAGTGATGTGAGACCAGAATGGCAGTTTAAAAGGGAATAAAAGCATTTTATGATTTAGGACTGGGACCTGTATAAAAATGGGCCTGTTTGTAATGTAAATGGCATAGGTTGACCATCAATACCCTGTCATAGAGATTGATGACTTAATATAGCAGCCTGAATACTCAGGAAGAACTCTGTATATATGGCCTCTATGTCCACAAATATAGAGAATGTCTTACCTGAGACTTTAGTGTGACTTGGAATCTGAGACGGACACCTTAAAGGGGGTGTTGCCCTGAACTTCCTCAGTCTTCAGCAGCGGATTTTCTGTCGGTGACGAATCTGGCAGTGTCGACATTTCCTATGAGGGCTAGAACTTAGGATGGCTTACCCACTCTCTGGTGGCTAGGACAGTCCAGTAGCCCTGGAGTAAGGTCTCAAAGAATGCCAGGATGGGGCATTTTTTGTCTAGTATCTTCTGCTGCATTTGAGCGTGGTCCATGGAGGGGGCAGGCAGCTCCACCTTGTGTAGGTTTACCTGTCTCAGAACTCCAAGTGTCACAAGTGTTAAAAATATAAAAAACCATATTAAGATCTCTCTAAGGTTTGAAGGTCAAGTTTTGCCTTTTTGTTTGGGATTTGGACTATAGTAGAATTAAGTAAGTATGTAGTAATTTAATATTGGCATTTTGGATTAGAGAGCAGGCTTTATCTGGATGGCATATTGCTTTTTTTTTTTTTTTTTTTTTTAGGGTGACACGTAGAATTAACAAAGCTTTAGTCTGCCAAACAAGGCTTTAATGGAAACATTTTGCAGTAAAGGTTTAGCAATCTTATGAATAAATCAAAACTGATCTAATACTGTCAGATTCTGAACACAGTTACTTTTAAAGTTGTTATTTGCAGTACTATGAACCAAGACAAATAAAATAAAACTTTGAAAAAAAACCTTGTCTTGAAATAGAGCTAGTGGTTGCCAGCAAAAAGGAATTTATAACCTTAGTTGTTAAACAGGAGATTGGTGAAGGCTTTGATTGATAAACAAGGCTGGTAAAATTATCAGTTGGCCAGTAACTTTGATTAAATGGTTTGAGAATTGTAATAAAAAGCATCTCTTGAGCGGTGCCAAATTGTAAAAAAAAGCATGCCTGAGCAGAGCCGCTGAGCTGCTGTGTGCGCGGTGCCGCAGAGAGGTAGGCAAGGAACCGTAGAGTGGGCGGGGCGAACGCGGGACACTGTAAGCAGAGAACGGAGGCTTACTGTGACGCGCTAAGCGGCGCAGGGAAATGACATCGTTTCGCTGCGATCGCGTAAGGGGGTGGGGCTTGGAGGCCCCGAGTGGTGATCCCAGTTGACGCCTGGCGCCAATGGGAGCTGTGGCTCGCGTTCGGTCCCCCGGAGAGACGGGGCGACGGCCGAGGCGGGCGACAGAGGGGGTGGCCGCATCCCAGAGGGGCGGGGTGGTGGCCAAGGTCGTGGCTGTGCCCCGGAGGAGCGGGGCGACGGCCGAGGCGGGCGGCAGAGATGGTGGCCGAGCCCCGGAGGGGCGGGGCGGCGGCAGAGGCAGTCTGAGAGAAGGGAGTGGCACAGCGTGAAGTTAGGCGGGCTTTGTTTTGAAAGGCTCATGGCCACGCCAGAGCTGGGCGCGCTGTGAAAGCCACGGCTT